CGACTGTACAGCCGAAGAAATGGCGGTAGCCGTAAGAGGGCGCTATCTCAACTATTCAAATGCTGTACGATCCAAGTAACGCAACAACGATAACTGGAGGGGTATTGTAATACATAAATTTTGAGCCCGGCCAAAATCGATATATAAATTCGTAGAACCTCGGAGATCATAAGCCGAGGTCAGCAAATCTGTATATCGGGCCGGGCCAATATTTGCATTTTTACACGAATAAAACACATTTTGAAAAAATACTGTCAGCATATCGTCGGACTGTCAGCATATCGTCGGACTGACAGCATATCGTCGGACTGTCAGCATATCGTCGGACTGACAGCATATCGTCGGACTGTCAGCATATCGTCGGACTGACAGCATATCGTCGGACTGACAGCATATCGTCGACTGACAGCATATCGTCGACTGACAGCATATCGTCGGACTGACAGCATATCGTCGACTGTCAGCATATCGTCGGACTGACAGCATATCGTCGACTGACAGCATATCGTCGGACTGACAGCATATCGTCGGACTGACAGCATATCGTCGGACTGACAGCATATCGTCGACTGACAGCATATCGTCGGACTGACAGCATATCGTCGGACTGACAGCATATCGTCGGACTGACAGCATATCGTCGACTGACAGCATATCGTCGGACTGACAGCATATCGTCGGACTGACAGCATATCGTCGGACTGACAGCATATCGTCGGACTGACAGCATATCGTCGGACTGACAGCATAATGTCAGTCCATTTTGTCGGACTCTCGTCGGGTTTGCTGATCATTTATACAACTGTTTATATGGAACTCAACACGGTACAAACAACGATGTTTTGATCGACATAAAATGTTACAGTTGTTATATTGTCAAGAATTTTATCGACTCGATCAAGAATATTTGATAATTTCAAATATGCGTTCATTGTGGTATTGCTTTTCAACATTAGCGTTTATATATAACGCATATATTGCGCAAACATACTGCATATGTTCTGATTATGTGTGGACGAGCCGGAGCCGAGGGAATAGAAATACAATTCACGTTATTCCTGCATCTTTATTTTAGACGGTGGCTGAATATTATCAACGCTACCTAGACTGGAATAGTACAGCAATGTACGGTACAAATGTATGGGGAACACCGGGCTATGACTCAGTCTGGGCTGTGGCACTGGCGTTAAATAATAGTATGCAAGAAATTGAAAAACAGGTAGGATAATTAATAACACTGTATTTTAAATTTTTGTTTTATTTTGTCTTCATAACCAAAGCAAATTGCAATTAGTTCTGACTATTATTTGGCACGTCTGCCATACTGAGTTTCGCTGATTTACCGACTCCCATATTACATGCAAGTTAATCGCATGCCCGGGATCGCGTGTCCTACGTACTGTCCCAAGAACGATAACGATAATCAATTCCTCGTCATTCTTAGTTGTGCATGTATTAGTACGACAAGATATTGAGTGCCCAATGCTATGCCATCATATGAGGGCGAAAAAAAAACCCGCCACGCTTCAATACAAGTTCACATAAACACAGTCCATTTAGTGACGTCATTTATTCTTACCTCTTATAGGTTATCTATGATGACAATGGAACTTTTATTCGATATAAACGACTTGAAGATTTTACGTACTCTGATGATGTCATGCTGAATGCGTTCAAATCGGCGATGAACAACGTGTCATTTCACGGTGTTACCGTAAGATGATCGTTCCTGTCAAAACGTGTAAAGTTATTTTATGTGTGTTAGTAATATTTACAACCTACTAGTATTTAAGGGTTAATATATGGAACAAATGAAGATTGCTACATGTTGTAATTTGCTGATCCTTCAGTATAAACTGTATGTTTTCAACTGGATCTCTATAGTCGAACACACCATTTTTTATGCTGTAACAATGTGTTGATGCCATAATCCTACAACTCAAACTAACTCAGTGAAAAGGCTGTCGGTTTCTTTTGATATTTGGGTTGCTATAATTTGATCTGAGTACGACCGACCCTACCATTATAAACTGTATTACACATGAATGTCTAACTGTAAGTTCGTGGTTTCCCGTTTTTTATACCAGTTATATTAACGATTGTAGTACGTGCGTTTTCGATCCCACAGGGTCCACTACAATTTGATGAACACGGTGAAAGGCAAGGAACAGTTATTGTTCACCAAACTCAAGGTAAATATGTACGTGATGGTGTTACTGGGTAGGGACGGTCATAGGGACGGAGTTATAACCAATTCAGCCAACTTTTGCGGTCCTCTGAATCGGCGTACTTGTTGAATTGTCATTGTTTTGTGTTGGACCAATTTGATAGAGACTTATTCGTGTTTTATTTAAAGAACTTATAAGATTTTCCTCTATGTTTCAGGGGGACGGCGTGTGACGGTAGCGTTGTATCGTGATGTCAGTGCAACGTTGGAATTTGATAACAACCCCATACAGTGGATGGGTAAGCGCACATAGCTTCATTGTAGACCAACAACAATGTAACGATTTACTGTCAGCTGGCCACTGACAGATAACATTGAGAAAAGAAACAGTTTATACTTTATCTTTGTAACCAATATGCCTCACATACATAAATACGGTTGCAATACAAATATTACATGCAACGTTGATCATTCAAAACACTTTTATTTTTCTTACTGAAGCTGGCCCGCCAGTCGATGGAATGACGTGGTACATAGAAGAGCTGAGAGTTGGTCTACCTATCTACATCACATTCTGTGTACTGGCTTCGCTAGGTCTTGTAATGGCGCTGTTCTTTCTCGTTATGAATATTGTATATCGAGACCACGGGTGAGCTACCGCGTTTGACTTGTTCAGTAACTTGAACTTACAAAATTGATTAAAACACCGTGTATAAAACAATTCCAATAATTCAATTTATTTATTGACACGACACTGACGAAACAGCGAGGTCACGATAAACTTGTACATGCAATTAGCACAATACACTCACCGTCTATAAATATCGTGTTAGTGTACGATCAATCATCACCCCTAGTTACAAGTGTTATTCATAGCTACCAAGACTGTGCCATGTCGCTGCATGGGGGACTTCGCTTACCAAACTTGTCACGCACATTCACGTCGCAGATTATTTTTTTCGTGATGAGCATTCATCGCTCTCATATCGCATCGAAACTTGTCATCACGCTTTTTACACCCCCCTCTACCGCGCTGGGTAACGAATGGCCTGGCTCAGTCTTGGTGACAATACGACGAGAGCGGAGATGCAATAAA